TATATTATAGAATATATCTTACTTTTGGTTCAATACATGTGTCTCAAGTGGGATTTATCTCCATTTAAAACAATTGTTTAATAACTTGATAGCCATGTTGGTAAGAATTCAATTACCAAAAACAGTTACAACTAAAGAGATCAATACATTATATAGAAGTGCCATAATTAAAGAAGTAATACACACACATAAACAAAAATACATAAACAAATATTACATAAGGCTTGATACATTACCAAGTGCCAAAATTTAGAAACAATTGTAATTTTCATCATCATATCATCTTAATTATCTAAACACAAATATGTTAGCATTAAATCTACATATACTCTTTCCACCGAAAAAAAAACGGCAAATTATTCTTTAGGCTAATAGCTCCAAATCCATAACCAATTCAAACAATATTGATACAAATTTGAAGTATCATCAATCATGATTTGATCCAAATATACAATCAAACTTTTTATTTAATAGTTTCATTATGAACCTGTGAAGATGGTTGAAAACCTCCAAGAACATATATCTCCCCACCAATCATCACTTTTTCTTGTAAAATTATTGTTCTTCATTGTATTTTTAATTAAACCTAGTTTAAGGGAGCTACGGTTTGAAAAATTCTCAAACAAAATGTCTAGAAAAGACCTAGGGTTTAAAATTTCAAGAACCCTAACCTGATTATGTAGTGGTAGTGGTGAATTGATGGTGGTGGTAGTCGATGATCGCTATAGAGCTTCTTCGTGGTGATGATGATTGGGTGGGCATGTACATGGACGGTGATGGTTAACATACAGAGGTCGTAATTTGCAAACACATAGAAGGGCCCTTGAAAAAAACGAGCCCTGTGCACATGCCCATATTGCCCCTGCCTATAATTGACCCTGGTCGAAGGCACCAAGGCCGACCCTTTGGATTGTTATCCTGATATGTTATGCTAGTATGATCTGTCAGATCGGTATCCTGGTAGATAGGATGGTATATGCTATTGTGATCTGTTAGATTAGTATCCTGGTAGATAGGATGTTATTATGTTGCTATGATCCATTAGATTGTTTTATATATCTACAGACTGTTATGTGATTATTTGTTATATGTGCACATGTTTGATTGCTGGTTAAGGCTTGTTTGCTTTGTGCGAAAGCCAATAGACCTGGGCATTCCAACCCAATGGTTGTGGGTCGTGAGTATTCCATCCCGAGGATGATTGGACTCGTAGTACGTGGGTATTAGAACCTATTGGTTGTGGGCCTGGGGTATTCCATCTCGAGGATGGTTGGACCCATAGTATGTTGGCATTCTAACCGAATGGTTGAGGGCCTGGGGTATTCCAACCCGATGGTTGACTGGACCCATAGTATGATGTTCGTGATTATATGTATATTGCTGTGTGTATGGGTATTTCAGGGGAGCTCGCTAAGCTTTGGGCTTATAGTTTCAGTTTTGTTTTAAGTACATCAGATGATCACAGGAAGGCAAAGGCGTGATCGTACAGCTCCTCATGTTTTTATGACCTTGTTTTCTAGGATACTCTAATATTATATTATTTTGAAAACAAGTTTTATAATATTCAATGGTTTTGAGATGTTTTAAAAAGTTTAAATTGGGCATGATTTTATGGATGTTACATATGGTGGCCTTGGTGGGGTCGCGCTTATTAACCTTAAGGGAGTTTCGAGCATGTAGAGCTCCGGACTTTCACGGGGCGAAGGACCTAATAGTGAGTAGGAGGTGTTTAGAGGATGTTGCTAGCGCCTTGCGCACCAACAGATGCCCCAAGGGGGAAAAGGTCAGACTTGTCTCCTGTCTTCTGAAGGACAGGGCACAAGATTGGTGGGAGGAGATTAAGCGCACATTGGGTGATGAGGCTGTTGATTCAATGACCTTGGATGACTTTGTAACCATGTTCAGGGTTGATTTTGCACCGGTTATTGAGGTATAATAGTTGGCACGAGAGTTTCAGGATCTCCTCCAGACTACCAAGATGGTGGCTATGATCACCACGATGTTCCGAGAGAGGGCACTTTTGGTTCCGCAGTATGTAGCAGATGGGGAGATGCATAAGGCTTGGTATAATGAGATGTTGTGGAGTAATATGCAAAAATTTGTGTGTCGGTCCAGTTGCAAGATGCTGGGAGATATGACAGTTAGAGCTAGGGAAAGGGAGATTGATCTGGAGATGGAGAATAAGAGGAAGCAAGACTATGTGTCGGGTGTTGAGGGTTCGGGCTAGAGGCCTAAGGTATCTAATTCTAGATCGAGATGCCATCAGGGTCGTAGACGTTGTGTCAAGTGCGACAAGATGCACGAGGGAGCATGCGGAGTGGGTGGTTATGGCTGCTTCAAGTGCAGCCAGACTAGTCATATTAGCAGAGATTGCACTGTTACCATATATGATTTGCTTTCATTGAAATCAAAGGGGCCACAAGAAGACCCATTGTATGAGTTTGTCTGAAGCAGGACCAGTGTCAGCACCCTCTCTTTCAACTCTTGAAATTGTAGTTGATTGCTTGGAGTTTTTGAGCCTAGCACCAATAGTGTGGATGCCTCAAGTGGAAATCACAAATCACCACAAACTTGGAACTTTGAGAGAATAGTCACTACTATCTTGAAATTTGCCCTCACCTCAACAAGTGTCAACTAGTGTCATTTCAAGAACCAAAGCCTCCTTTATATAGTGTGAAGTATTAGGGTTACATCCCTAAAACCCATGTTTCTTCATTTCCATGAGATCCATGGGTTAAAGCTCCATGGAGTATCCATGGACTTTTCCATGCAAGCCTAGCCCATTTCAAATAAGCTTTAGCCCACACTATAAATATAGAAGCCCATATTTAATTAGTAATATCTTTGATCTCTAAATTAATCCTAGATTAATTATAGATCACTACTAATTAAATAATATGATATTATATTAATATATTAGAACTTATAATATATTAATAAATCATAACTTGTACTATTCTCAAATATTATCCATAAATTGTTCGGGTGAAGTGCAACCCAAATGGACCGTGCCGGGTCGGGTCAAGTACATACCAAATATAGTTATGAACTTAGACACTATATCCAACAGATAGCATGTTTAGGTTGCGAGGGTTCATTGGGGTTGTACTCTTCAATTATTCAGCGATCAATATTTTGTAGATTTGGTTCCCATTCCTTTGCATGGGAACAAGGTTATTATAGGCATGGATTGGCTGAGCCCTAATGGGGCAGTGATCGATTGTGAGCAGTAGTTAGTTCGGGTTTGGACCCCAAGTGGGGGAGAGTTAGTGGTTCATGGGGAGAGATCTCAACGTGGGCTGATTTTGTGTTCATCAGCGAGGGCTAAACACTATATTCAGCAGGGTTGTTTTGGTTATGTCGCCTATGTTATGGATACATGAGATAGGGTAAGGCGTCCATCGATGATGTGTCGATTGTGCAAGATTACCCAAATGTTTTTCCAGAGGATTTGCTTGGGGTGCCTCCAGAGAGGCAGGTTGATTTCAGGATTGATCTGGTTCCTGGTGCGTCTCCGATAGCCAAAGCATCGTATCGGTTGGCTCTTCCCGAGATGTAGGAGTTGTCTACATAGCTGCAGGATCTATTAGACAATGGATTCATTCGACTGAGTAATTTGCCTTGGGGAGCATCAATCTTGTTTGTGAAGAAGAAGGATGAGTCTCATCATATGTTCATTGACTACCGAGAGCTGAATAAGGTAACGATGAAGAACCGTTATCCACTTCTGAGAATTGATGATCTTTTTACTAGCTTCAGGGTGCATCTTGGTTCTCCAAGATTGATTTGCGATCGAGTTATCATCATATGAGGGTTAGGGATGAGGATGTGTAGAACAACTTTTCAGACTCGTTATGGTCATTAAGAGTTCGTGGTGATGCCTTTTGGGCTCACCAATGCTCCAGCTGCGTTCATGGATCTCATGAACCGAATGTGTATAATGATGCTGAATCGGTATGTGATTGTGATCATTGATAATATCTTGGTTTATTCCAAGACTTAGGAGCAGCACGTAGAGCACTTGAGGGAAGTGCTAGAGACTTTAAGGAGGGAGACACTTTTCACAAAATTCTCCAAATGTGAGTTCTGGTTGTGCGAGGTGCAGTTTCTGGGGCACCTTGTCAACCATAATGGTATTCTGGTTGATCCGGCCAAGGTTGAGGTCGTGATACAGTGGAAGGTTCCGAGGTCTCCATTTGAGACTCAATTTTTTCTTGGTTTAATAGGTTATTATCGAAGATTCATTCAAGAAGTATTATAATTTTCATTTTGAAAAAGCTTTCCCGAGAGAACACCCGGATGTCCCTTAACGATTCTTTTCTGTGTTGTTTTCTCAGGAAAACTCCCAAGGCAGATCCATCATCCGGCATCCAGGTGCCGAAGCGAAAACTGGGCATACGCCTTAACACTTAGACATTCATGGTCTATTGTCTTATGTCTTTCTTTTCCTTTCAAGAAATATTATAATTTGCATTTTGAAAAAGCTTTCCAGAATTCTATATTGCAAAAATGCAAAGTATAAAGGTTGTGCATATTTTCCAAGTAGCAACAACGGCTTATCACCTACGCTACTTGAGCAAAATCTATGCAAGGATGCAACCATAGGTCTTAAAAGAGTCATAATCTTTACCTACAATGTGCCAATAACATCTCAGAGTTGAGAATGTATAAATCAAAATTAATGGCACAATACAAGGGGTTCTAAAAGATTCATAACCTTTCTCCTGATATTACAACAGTAAAAGGTCTTGGGGTGATGATATCGGCCTGTGTATTGGCAGATAGACCATACAGTACAGTCCACAACAATGGCTAACATTTCATGGCTTAATACAAAAAGCCTAAATAAGCATACAAATCAACGGAGCATAACTCAATAATAGCAACTATGCGACATCTGAAGCACACATTCGCCAATTAACGCAAACCATAGAACAAGGGAGTGTGTAGTAATATAGCATGTCCTTATGGATACCATAGGAAAAATTATAATATATGTGTTAACATGCCACAACAATGTGTATACATACAACAAGAAAATGGAAGAAAACACTTCCAGGCAAAATTACTAAACAAAATACACAGTTTATGGTTATTAACGGCCAATATTCTTTACTATACATATAGTACATGGAAAGGCAACTACACAACAAACAAAAGTGAAAGACACAAATTAGCCCCCGGAGTCCAAGGAAGAACCTAACGGATTTGGCCTGCAACAAAACTGGTGGAAAGTCGTCATAATCCAACTCCTCTAAGCGAAAGAGGCCCACGAAATTCGTCTCAGCTAGGGACGATAAAGCGGCATCTAACTTTGTAGCTCTTCTTGCAACACAGCTAGGATCTGGGACTTCAGGTTCTCCAACACGTATAGAGCAACTACCCATTCGCTTCCCCTTTTTAAACCTAAGGGACTCACATGCCTCAAGAACACCCTGGATCTCGCTGGCGAATTCTGCATTATCGATAACTTTGTTAATCACACGAACCACCACCTTCTTCAACATCCATTACAAACTACCTCAAGCGACAGCACCATCAACACGAGCATGGGTCAGTTGATGTTGGCACCTGGATAACTCACTCGCCAACGCAACTTTCTCCTGCATAATAGAACTCACTTGGTCCTCAAATTCACTATTATCGATCCTCCAAAGTGTCCACCTGATCCTCATAAACGACCTTCTCGCATGCCACAATGCAGTTTTGCTCAACAAGAACTTGACGCTCCGCCTCTGAATCACGAACTTCCTCCATCATGCCTGCCAAGGCACCCTGCAATACTTTCAATTGCCTCTCATTCGCACCAGCACGGCTAACCCCGTCAGCGGCAGCGACCATAAGGGCAGAAGTCTGGGTCGCGACCTAACAAAGGTCACCAGCTATACGAGCACTCGATTAACCCGCAATCGAACTCATTGTGACTGGAGGATGAGTGCATCTACTCCACTCCTGGGCGGTAGTGTCTTTTGACAGTAAGGAATCTATAGTAATTGCCCAGCCCGAAGCGTAGGCCTCGAAAGATAGAGAATGAGACGGAGTTCCTATTTCGTCGATCAGGGAAGGCTTCTCGCGCTGAAAAGAACCTCCAGGTGAACTTGGCACGCCCCCAAACATAGAGCTGGAACTGAGATTAACCAAGGGTGAACCAACGAATAGTGAGGGTGACGCCTTCGAAGAACTAGGCACCACCACTATCTCTTTTTTCTCGGGCACAAAAAATTGACCGCCAACAATACCCCTGATACCGCCAAGAAGCTTGGCCACAGATACAGTCCTACGCGCTTTACAAGGAAGAAGACCCACACCATCAGATTCTATCTCCTCGTCCAACGACGGCACCACGTGCAAACTTCACCTTTTCCAAATAGGAGCACTACCTTTTCTTGCTTGTACCCCCACAGACAAACCAGAATGAGCAAAAACTAACAAACGAAGTGGGGAAACGACCCCAACGGCTGGTTGGGAAGGCAACGCATGCTTGCTAAAACCTACATTTCCTCTTCCACCAATAGCAGTCCATCAAGCTCTCACATACATCTTTCATACACAGGAGGAGGAAGATCCTCTACTAGATCAATCCCTCGATGGCAAAGCTTTCCCTAATAGTGACCATACAGAGCCATCTCCAAATAAATCTCAGCTTCAACACATGTGAAAACAAACGCCAAAAATAAGATCTCACAAGCCAACAAGATATCCTATTCTCACTCTTTTTTTTTAAAAACGGTGGGGGGGGGGGGGAAGGATATGAGTTAATACCGCATCTCACGACGAACATCTGCACCATCTTCCCGCAGGCCCTCCAGGCGGCACTCATATTGGCCGCTGCAAGAATGAAATCTTCCCAGTTCTTTCCAACGATAATGATGTTTCCCAAATGCTTTCTAAGAGTTAGATTACTCCCAAACAACTTAAGAAGACGGTCAGAAAAGTCTCGGGTTCTACGAAACCCACGCCCCATAAGGTTTAGGTTAACCCAAAGCCACTGTCGTTGCTAATTTTTCTTTGGAGCGTCTTGTTCAGAAATCAACTGATGAATGCCTCTTCTCTTCGCTAAAGAGCGGACTCCGAAATTCGTAGTCGAATAGAAAAAGTAACTGAAAACCCAGAAAGTTGGTACATAACCCAGAGATCGACAAATTAGTTCAACACCGACAATTTTATTAATAGTGTTCGGGGTCAACTCTTTGACGGAAAGGCCATAGTGGTCCATAATCATGTTGAAGAAATCGGATGTCGGCAAGCGTAACCCTACTTCAAATAGAGGGATCGAAACTCCCACCTTTTCTTGAGGGCAATCGTAGATCGATACCCCTTTGCCAGAATCATTACGTCGTGCTCTGGTAAGAAGTCGAAGCGGTCTTGCAGAAACTGGAACTCCTCAGCAGTAGGGACTCTACCGTAATGGTCCATTGTCAAGAAAAGGATGAACAATCGAAAAGGAAATTAACGGAATACCCGGATTGATACAACAAAGCCAAATGGGGATGTGAGGATGAAGAGCCTAGGGGAAGGGGGGATTTATAGGGAGAAACTAGTGTCATGAACCGTCTCCTAATGGGACTGACACACATTGACGGTGCCTAAGGCTTGTCAAACGATAAAACTAATCTCGGGCATACACGAGTCGAGATATAGACTCGAACGGCGATGCTGTCAAGCTGATGCATACACCTACGAGTCTAAGGGACTTGTTAACGTATCCCTCAAGGGAACATCAAAAAATAAGTCAAACTAACCATGTGATTGGCCTGGTTAGAAGCTAGTCTAAAGCTGAGCCCAGGCCTTCACCGACGCTAAGAACACTGATATGGCGGTTAAGATGCAGAGTCGCGCCTTAACCCCTTCTACAGGAAAGTACATCCCGGCAAACATGGGGAAAATACGAGAGTCCCACTTGCTCATCATATGATAGCCACGATCTTCGTAAATGTTTAGAAGATCTCCTTCCAGCCAATGAGGGAATGAGGCAAATATGTGACGCAGGACCCTCCAATATGGGTCCGCCATGTCGTACCTCACGAGGGAGTCTCCAACAGAATTAGTTGAGGGACACGCCTCTAAAACAAGTATAAATGGATCCTTCTTCCTCACAAGGAAGGGGACATAATTCTCTTTTTCCTGTAATCTTCTCCTATCTTTCTCAGATCTCATACTGACTTGATCGTCGAAACTTTGTCCCGAGAACTTCTCCATGACGTCGACTAACGGTCATCTCTCTCTTTTGCACTGTGATAACAGGAGAAGATACCCACATGGATCCCCCCTGCAGTTCCGACTTAATCCTCTCCACCATATCATAATAGTTGTTCTTTTAACCGACTGACAAAGAAGACGGTTACATTTTGCTGGGGGCCTGAGCAGCATGCCGCTTTTGAGACCTTGAGATAGCGGTTGTGCAAGACACTGATTTTGACCTTGTCGGAGGGTGTTGATGTAGGGTTTTGAGCATTTTAACACTCCTAAGGTGTACATGCAACCCTAGAAATCTTGGATCTATGTTTGTCTAAAATACATGCAAAATTTGATTTCCAAGGTTCTTAATCCTATCTAGCATACACGAGGAACTTTAAACATAAAAGCTAGCTAGAAATACATACCTTATAGTAATTTGTATTCCTTGAAAACCTTGAGAGCCTATCACCCCAAGTGTGATGCCTCAAATGTCTCACACAACACCAAATGCTTTTGGAATGACTTAAGAGAAATGTAGAACACTTCTAAAATCGGCTTGCCCTCTTTATTCTTTCTAGTGGCCGATTTTGGTGAGCTTTATGTTCTTATATAGTGTGTTACAATTAGGGTTACACCATGTAAACCCTAATTGTCATGACCTTTCATTTCCATGACCTATGGGTCCTATAAACACCATAGAGCATCCTATGAGCCATAGCCCAACTTGATAATCCATGGAGCATAAAGCCCACTATACAAGTATGAGTGATTTACACAATCAACCCATATATTTAATTAGTCACCTTTTGATCACTTAATTAATTCTAAATTAATTCTTGATCAATACTAATTAAATAATATTATTAATATATTAGAACTTATAATATACTAATAAACCATAAGTGCTATTTCTCTTATTTTTGTCAATCCAAATGCATGATGCCATGCAACCCAAATGGACCATGCCAAACCGGGTCAAGTACATACCAGAAATAGTTATGGACTTAGACACCTTATCCAACAGCCTCCCACTTGGATAACTCTAATAACTATATCTACAAGTACGACTTCAGGAACCGATCAACAATCGTAGCTCTTTCAAGGTCTCTCAGAACTGAGATGATGATGATACACCATTTAAGATAAGTGATCATATAATCCTTTGTTCTAGATATCAGCCGGAAAAATACATGGAACAATGTCTTACTTATTGTCCAACAGTTTGTTTCCTGATTTCCGATTTGTTTGACAAAGAACTTAATCGAACACATCAATTTAGTTCTGACCGGGCCCGGTACATAGGTCAAAACAAAATCATTGAGGGGCCCAGATATCACTTCTAATCCAAAAAGCAACAAATAAACTTCGACTCATATGCTTGTTCTACTACTTGTTGAATCACACACAAAAGTACGTTTTATAACATCGAGTCACCAATGCAGTTTCGTATGATCAATGTATAACCAACAAGTCATATCACTAGGTTTGAAGACTTATATGATATTACCATCTCACAATCACTCGAGATAAATTCCATGAAGTGATTCCAGTGAGCATGGGTTGAGTCCAATACTCAAAACTTATGAGTACTCATGAAGTGTTGTAGCACCACTTTGCTACAAGCCAACCTCATGACAGTCTTGATTCATATCTACTTCCGACATATGACTGACTGTGGAGAAGTTGAATAATATGTAATACACAACATAAATATTCTGGAAGTCAAAACATGCAAAAGAGATTATAGTGAACAATTGACAAAATATAGCAACACTTTACTCATAAATAAACACAACTTTTATTCATTATCAAATGTCACTTATACTCTACAAATTTCTGAGCTATCTAACTACTAAAAACTAATATCATCCTTCAGTCCTATGCGCCTCACATGTTGGAGATGCTTAACCTTACCCAGTCCCTTCGTGAGGGGATTTGCTGGGTTCTCATCCGATGATACCCTCTTTGACACGAGGAGTCCTTCTTCTATTCGATGTCTGATGAAATGGTATTTTCTGTTGATGTGTCTGGATCTCCCATGATCCCTTAGTTCTTTTTCTAAGGCAGCTGCACTTTCACAGAAAATTTCCATAGGCTCCTTTATAGCTGGTATTACTCCAAGGTCTCCAATGAAGTTCTTCAGCCATATCACCTCCTTTGTTGCCTCACTTGCGCTATATACTATGATTTGCAAGTTGAATCAGCCACCGTCTCATGCTTGGAACTTTTCCAAGTAATTTCTCCTCCGTTTAAGGTACAGACCCAGCCCGAATGAGAGCGGAAATTATCCCTATCAGTCTGGAACCTAGCATCACTATACCCTACAACTCTCAAGTCATCACTCCCACCAAGGCTAAGAACCCAAACCTTTATCCTCGGAAGGTACTTGAGAATATTCTTCACCGCAGTCCAGTGATCCTTGCCAGGGTTCCCCTGATATTTGCTAACCATGCTCAAAGCAAAGGCTACATCAGGATGAGTACAAGTCATAACATACATGATCGAGCCTACAATGGATGCATAAAGTACTCGACTCATCTCTGCTATCTTTTAGCCTTAGTACTCGGGCTCTATGTCTTACTCAATCTGGCGTTACTCTGGATAGGTAACCCTCTTTTCTTGGAATCCTGCATGCTGAACCGCTTCAACACCTTATCCAAGTAGGTACTCTGACTAAGTCCAATTAGTATTTTACTCCGTTCTCTCAGAATCCTTATCCCAAGAATATATGCAGCTTATCCTAGGTCTTTCATATCGAAACACTTCCCAAGCCAGGACTTCACTTCCTCCAAGGTTGGGATGTCATTTCCTATGAGAAGTATGTCATCCACATACAGTACCAAAAAGCTAACTATACTCCCACTAGTCTTGACATATACACAAGATTCATCTTCACTCCTCGAAAAAGCCAAATTCTTTGACTTTTTCATTGAAACAAAGATTCCATCTACGAGGTGCTTGTTTCAATCCATAGATGGATTTCTCAAGCTTACACACTCTATTAGGGTATTCTGTACTGACAAAACCCTCTGGCTGACACATGTAAACATCTTCAAGTGTACATGCAACCCTAGAAACCTTGGATCTATGTTTGTCTAAAATACATGCAAAATTTGATTTCCAAAGTTCTTAATCCTATCTAGCATACACAGGGAACTTTAAACATAAAAGCTAGCTAGAAATACATACCTTATAGTAATTTGGATTCCTTGAAAACCTTGTGAACCCAGCACCCCAAGTCTGATGCCTCAAATGTCTCACACAACACCAAATGCTTTTGGAATAACTTAAAAGAAATTTA